ATGCAAAAGGGGAGCACTCTCCTCACGAGCCCCTCTCATCTCCCGGAAGCTCTGGACAATCTTCTCCAGTATGAGGACCATGAAGAAGCCGGCAGCTATGATGAACTCTGGAAGGGGAAAGGGGGTCTTTTTAAGACCAGATACAGAGATTCAACAGTTAGCGGGGTCAATGTGGTAAAATCAAGAATTAGTGAATAGATGTTTAACACAGGAAGGAAATAGTAGACAGGATATCTACTGTAGAAGATGAAAATAGATGAAATAGAAAATATCAGCATTAATAGGAGTAATAGTATTTTGAGCTATAACAAACAGCCTTTCAATCTTGCGGTTTCACATGACTGTGGAGCAAATATGTTTGAATTTTGGACCACAAATACTTTGAACAGGTGACAATCTGAAAATCTGAGGTTGTTCATGCAAAAAAATAACATTAATTGGGAATACAGATCAATGCATTGTAAATATATGATATATTATCTTATATTATATTGTTTCCTTTATGAGTTCGTCTAAATCATTATTCCGAGATACCTCCACCTCCCGAGCATCCAGCACTGTGCCAATGTCTGACAGATAATCCGGAATGATGTCGAGCAGACATGCTGCCAGGAAAACCCCACCAGCAAAGCAGCTGATCAAACTGAGAACCATGCGATGAATATCTGCAAAGAGGAAGACAAAACATGCTTTATGTTTCAGCACAAACTTAAACACAGCAGTAAAACCTTGTCCTATATAATGGCTTTTTTATTGGTTTATTTAGCCTTCTATAACCAGGAAACCCAATGGAGATCAAATTTCTTTCACAACAGAGGCCTGGCCAGATGGCAGTCTGTATTACTCCCCTAGCTGTACTAGCTTATATGTTGATTTCTTTTATTAGAACATAACAGATAAAAAGCCCATGCTACTTACTAGTATGCAAAATGTATTGCTGGGAATCTAATAAACTATGACCTGTCACTAAAACATACTGTTTACAAATAAAGAACACTGACAATGATGTCATCATTTTTGAACACAGGAGGGGCCGGGCTCTTGTTAAATCACTACTAGCCTTCAGCTTCATCTGATCGTTCAGTAGAACCTAAACCTAAATCTGAAAGATTAATGGTACATGTCCAACTATAAATCACGGGATTTCCCTCCACCCTTTGAATTGTTGGAACATCATGTGACACGCTCATGAGCAATGATGACTCAAAAGAGGACTCCAGCAGCAATAAGCCAGAATTGATGCTTTCACTTCCTTGTAAGAAAGCCGAACTTAACTCACCTCTATAACACATTTTTTTCAAATTCATATTTTCACTTTTGTGTTCTAGAAATGTGACATCAGAGTTTTAACCTTCACAGCTATCAGGTGACTGAAGCCAGAGGTCAGAGGATGGTTCACTTGATTGGACAGATTAACCCTTTAGACGGACATAAATGACTGCTGTGATATTAGAAATAATAAACCGTCAAAATGTAGACATTAAAATATCTACAGCATTATCTTGCCCTCCACGTGTGAGACCCACCCTGTTTTTCAACACTTGTGCTGCGCATGTTCAGTTTCCAGGACCGGGCTAAAAAAAATCAACTGCAGCACTTAAAACATTTCAGCGAGGTGATATGTGATCATGTGATCCACTGGAAGCTACAACGGTGAAACCATTGAGCTCCTGTAACTGGGCTTTTCTGAAGCTACACTAAACTTCGTTTACATTTCTTGCAAATTAAGGTTTCCGCCTTTATCTGTAAATGGCAGCAAATCCCAAAAGAGGCAGGAATACCTTACAGGAATGAGCAACTTCTCCCGTTTAGCTCGGCATTGGTGACATCGAGACACAACTAACAGAGAACAAGTAATATTAATAATTTGTTCCCCCTTTCCGCCTTTTGAGCTGAGATTGGTGAGATCTCGGTATTTGAAAATCAGATTATAGCAGTCACATATTTTATCCTCTCAAATACAGATACTGCTGCTATTAGCAGCTGCTTATGCCATTCCTTTTTCATATTAGTGTGTACCAACCTGTCCCATTTGTCTCTCTGAACCATTTGATCCGAGCGGGGATAAATCCAAAAAGAAGAGTTAGGAGCAACAACCCGATCAGAGCGCCGATTTTCACCTGGAACAGATACTCCATCGTGTAGTGTCAGTTCAGGACTGAGGTACAAATATTAGGTTAACATCGGCGCAAGACGACGACTCCAGCAAGTTCCAACTAAAGAATCTGACAGACGAGCCGCCGCTGCCGCAGGGTTGTTATTTAGACAAGAGCAGGCTACGAGGACCGTGAAGGGACAAAAGTGGCGTGGCTAAAAACAAATGAGGAAAAAAGCGAATTTTTACTCTTTACTGTTTTATAGTAACAATGCTTCTCTAATAATGATTTTAATGCTGCTACCACAATCTCAACCTCTACTGCTACCACTAACAACAACAACAACATTATTATTGTTGTTGTAGTTATAATAATAATAATAATAATAATAATAATAATAATAAATCCAAGTCCTGCTTAATAATAAAACCTATGCGGAAAACTATATATACAAAATCCCACTTTAAATATCGTATAATCACTGTGGTTGAATTTTTTTTCTATTACTTTTAATAGATCAAAGCTATTTCTTGTTAAAATTTTAAACTGTGGTTGTGGTGCTAACTGCTAAACGTTAGGGAGAAACAGACCAACTGTGTGGGGTGATGGAGCATATCTTCAACCTAAACCTGAGGCTGGGGAGAGTTCCACAGCTCTGGAAAACCCTTCTGTGTTGTACCAGTGCCAAAGACTCTACGTCCGAAGGCTCTGACATCCCACCTGATGCAGACCCTGGAGCGGCTGGTCCTAGCTCAGCTTCGGCCTCTGGTGAGCTCATCACTGGACCCACTTCAGTTTGCCTACCAACCTGGCATTGGAGTGGATGATGCTGTCACTCACCTTCCACATCGTTCCGTCTCTCAGCTGGAGACTGCTGGGAGCATTGTGAGAATCATGTTCTTTGATTTCTCCAGCGCCTTCAACACCATTCTTCCCACAGTTCTGAAGGAGAGCTGGAGTACACAGTGGACCATCACCTCACGTCATGGATACTGGGTCTACCTCACCGACCGACCACAGTACATGAGAACTCAGAGCTGTGTGTCACACAGGGTTGTCTCCAGTACAGGGGCCCCACAGGGAATGTTTTTGGCTCCGTTACTCTTCACCATCTACACTGCAGACTTCTCCCACAACTCCCAGTGCTTCTTTCAGAAGTTCTCTGATGACTCTGCAGTATTCGGCCTCATCACTGATGGGGATGACAGGGAGTACAAAGAACTGACCCAAGACTCTGTGGACTGGTGCCAGCAGAACTACCTCCAGATCAACACTAGAAAAACCAAGGAGCTGGTGGTAGACTTCTGCAGGCACAAACATCCTCCACTGCAACCACTGAACATCCAAGGTATGGACATTGAGGCTGTGGATAGCTACAGGTACCTTGTTGTTGAACAATAAACTGGCCGGACTCATAATTCAGATGCAGGCTGTACCTGCTGTGGAGGCTCAGGTCTTTTGGAGTGAAGGGCCCACTCCTGAAGACCTTTTATGACTCTGTGGTGGCCTCAGCCATCTTTTACAGTGTGGTCCGCTGAGGCAGCAGCATCTCTGTTGGGGACAGGAAGAGACTGAACAGGGTGATCCGGAGGGCCAGCTCTGTTCTAGGATGCTCTCTGGACAGAGTGGAGGTGCTGAGTGACAGGAGAATGGTGGCTAAGCTGTCATTTCTGTTGGACAACATCTCCCACCCCATGCAGGAGACCCTGACAGCACTGTGGCATTTTAAACCATGACATTAAATTCTAGAGGAAAAAAAATCATATTACCCTATAAAAGAAATTATATCCTTACCCCATAAAAAACAAATACAATACTTGAATAGCAAAACTATTCTAAACATCGTTTCTGCTTTAAATGTATTTATTCATTTATTTATTTATTTAGTGCGACTTCTAGAAATGGCCAGCAGATGGAACCCCGTGTCCATGGTTCGCAACTCACTTTCAACTACAGGAAGGAGGTTTGGCACTCTAAGAATCCAAATTAGTTGGAGAATTCAGGAACAGCTAGGCTGGTGGAAGAATAACTTCCAAAGAGAAAAATAAAACATTTTGGGGAAAGTTCATCCAACTAGTTGTGTTTTTTGTTTTGTGGTTGTTGTTTTTTTTTGTTTTTTTTTTAGCTAATTTGACACTCACTTGCCACTTTATTGGTATAATATCTGTTCAACTGCTCATTAATGTAATATCTAATCACCAAAACATAGGGCAGAAACTCGGTAAAAACAACTTGCTGAAATTCAAACTGCGTATCAGTATGATGAAAAAAGAGTGAACCTGGCATGACTATTGGTGCTGGTCAGAGTATTTCAGAAACTGCTGATCTAATGGGATTGACAAAGAATGGCCTGAAAAAGAGAAAATATCCAATGAGCAGCAGTTCTCCGGACAAAAATGCAGCCACTAGTTATAGCCAAGGTATGCAGAAGAGCATCTGTGGACACACAACATGTCGAACCTTGAAGCAGATGTGCTACAGCAGCAGAAGACCGCACAGAGTGCCACAGGAAACCAAGGCTGTAATTCATATGGACTCACTAACTGAACAACAGGAGAGTGGAAACGAGTCTGATCTCAGGAGTCTATTTCTGCTGCAATGGATGAACCAATCTGTGTGACACCATCACATCAACATGAACCAAAATCCCAGAGAAATCAGCACCTTGTTGAATCTGTGCCATGAAGAATTAAAGAGGCTCTGAAAGTAAGAGGGTCCAACCCAGTGCTGCTGAAATGTATGTAATAAAGTGGCTGTTGAGAGAATGTGATGTTTTTTTAATAAAAAAAAAAAACAATCAAAAAAAGTTTTTGTCCCGATGATCATTTAAATTAAAGCTAATTTATACAGTTGTTCATAAGTTATCCAGTTTAGTACCCTGTGTTTGAAGACAGCTGATGAGACTTGCTTTTCAGTCAGATCTTTATTTGTCACCTTTATCTGTCATATACATATCTCAAGACAAAATCATATACGTTTGTCAGCAAAGCAAAAACCAACAATAATCCTGAATCCAACTTCAACACACATGTTTTGACTTAACATAAGCTCCACAGCATCTGATACTCCTCTTTCACTGTAACAGCAAAAAAAGAGATAAAAGTTACTGTAGTATAATGTCACAGCCTTTGTATCCTGTAGTGACAGGTAACTTAAACCCGTTTGTCCCACAAAACCGAGCCCTTCGTGAGGCAACAGCAAAACTATAATAAACTTCACAGGGCTCTATATATAAAACACTGCTTGATCACAGACAGACTAAACAATGCAAGCTACATTTAGAAACTCTGTTCTTGAAATGCTAAAAAGAGGGAAACACATGCAAACTGCAGATATACTACAGATTAATACAGATTAATACAAAGGCTAGTATTTGGCTTTTGAGCACAAGTGATAAAATATCATTTAAAAAAAATAAAATAGGTAAAGTAACTTCTTTAGATAACTTTGTATAGAAGTGCATAGAGTGATACTGGACTGTAAAATGAATACATGTCAGTACATTAAGGCCTTCGGTTGTAAGATTTACAGTCTCTGCTTCACCTAAGCAGACAATGAAGCCACACAGGTTGACGGGATGAACAAGATAAAAGAAACAACTGACAGCCATGTACTGAGGTGTGGCTGCTCAGGCCCATCTTCTGACTGTGTCAGATGAATCTGTGGGTGTTTGAACCGCTTGTCCACCCGTTACATGCTGTGGATCATTAGAGAGTTTAGAGTAAACACACAAGTTCAGCAACCATCGACTTGTTTCAGCTTATAATGTAGTAGTATAGTGGCAACTAGAGAAAAGGTGTGTGTGTATGTTTCTGTATAATTACTTGGTAACTCTGACTGATCCTCGCTTTCTGACCAGCTTATTCAAACACGACTCCCTGCTTCTTCATGGTCAGTGGAGCGAAGTGGAATACATTACATTAACAATATTCACGGCATTCAAGGTTTGAAGCCCAAATTCAACATTTCACACAAACATGTCAGCTTTTTGTCCTTCATCCTCACAATCACATCCAACGAGCGGGAGAGACTAAAGGTAAAGGTAACAACGATGATGTCAGGTCTAAGGTTAGTCTGAGTTTTACACTTAAAATTAGTCTAAAACACATTCAGTAAGGTTTTGGCAATAGTAACAGACAGTACAGTCAGAATACTTATATAATGAAAACACTTTAAATAACTGCAGCACTGAGATGCTGGCAGCTGTACCAGTGCTGAGAAATATATAGACCAGGGTGTGTGTGTGTGTGTGTGCAGCTGTAGACCACATATCTATCAGGCACTTAAACTCACAATTTCTACATTTGTAACCAAAATGTAACAAGATAAGAGTTAAACTGCACTCTCGCTGATTTGGTTTAAGGCTCATACACAATTTCCGAATTCAGTCAGCGGTCAGCTATTGGCAGGCACGCCGAGCCAGCCGCTGGAGATTTTGCTGGGCGTCTGGCACCTCCGGCTCTGGACTGACTGAGCGAGCATGCTGAATGGACAAGAGCTGATGGAGAGCTGAGGCTGGTCAGCTAAACAGCAAAGTGAAGTGAGCAAACTTGCTTTGCTAAAAGAAAATATAGTTATTATTTCCTGATCTATGTGTGAGTGCTGCTGCTGGTTAAACACAGCAGGCTAGGTTCAGATGAAAGAAGGAAATAAAAATGCCACCGTCTCAATGCAGTGTATTATAAACCACAGGGAGCAACTCACCAAGCATCATCTTAGCACTAGTGGTTTAATTCCACAGCCACAGAGCTATGTAAATGACAGACTGGAGTCATTTATGACTGCTTTTTTTTTAATATAATGACTCTATTTGTGTTCATCCCAGTTTATTTATTTTTTAATCTATGACATATCTTGTAAAATGCCCTAATATAATTAATTATGGGTTTCAATCCCTGCTATGTAAAACAGGGGTTTGGCTTAGGCTTTGCCTCAAGGCTTCTACAGCAGTAAATCGGGCTGCTGTAGGTGTGTTTGCCATGGTTCACTGCAAAACACCACAAGTGGAAATTCACAATAAAACCCACCCCAGCAGTGTTATATATAATAACTTTCTATCAGCTGTGCCACACCAATAATTACTAATTCGTGGCTTATTAATAGGAAACCTTGAAAATAAGCCCACTCGGTTACCTGATGGTTACAGAGGAATGCCTAACAGAGGGAGGGACTGTGTAATATGTCAGGTGATCCGTGTTGTGTTAGTGTGTGGATTTTAGCCTCCTCAGTGTTTGATGAGGCCCTGCATCATCTCCAGCGGCAGCGGGAAAATGATGGTGGAGTTCTTCTCGGCAGCGATGGTGTTGAGGGTCTGCAGGTAGCGCAGCTGCAGGGCGGACGGAGACTCTGCGATCACCAGGGAGGCCTCCTTGAGCGCCCGCGACGCGTTCATCTCCCCCTCGGCGGCGATCACCTTGGCTCTGGCCTCGCGACTCGCCTCTGCCTCAGCCGCCATGGCTCTCTGGAGCTGGAGGGGCAGCTTCACATCTTTGATCTCCACCCTCTCCACCTTGATTCCCCAGTCATCCGTGGCGTCATCCAGTGACGACTGCATGCTGTGCGCGATTTCCTCGCGGTCGGACAGGATCTCGGCCAGGTTCTTGGTGCCCAGCACGTTCCTCAGGGTGGTCTGGGCCAGCAGGCGCGTGGCTGCATCCGCGTTAGTGATGTTGGCCACAGCCAGGGTGGCATTCTGGACGCGATAGTAGACCACGCCATCAACGCTCACTGTCACCGAGTCTTTGGTCAGAACCTCTTGAGGTGGGATGTCGAAGGTGATGGTGCGCATGTCCACGTTAATGAAGCTGTCGGTGCACGGCACGATGAAGAACAAACCCGGTCCTTTGGCTCCACCACGCAAAATGCGCCCCAGGCGGAAGATAATGGCCCTCTCGTACTCCTTCACGATCTTGATGCACATCCAGATAGATAAGGGCAGGGTGAGCAGCACGAGGAGGAGGGAGAGGCCGACCAGCAGCCAGCCGCAAAACCCGATGTCCGAGTCAGTATTCTCCAAAGTTACCTGACGCTCGCGTCTCCTGGCTTCTTTCAGGGCGGTGTCCTCGTTGTCGCCAGCCATTGTCTGGGCCCAAAATCTGAACTAACTGTTAAGCTGAGGTAAAGATGGCAGTAGTTTACTGGAGCAGCTGCTGCGCACTCCTGAAAAAACACAAACAGAAAAAAACTACACAACGATTACGCAAAGACGCGGGAGACGGAAATGGAGCTGATGATGCCATAATCGTGCGCCGGATGTGTTGCTATTCCCCACACAAGCCGTGAGTGCTGATGTGTTTCAAGAGTCTGGACGGGTTTAATGCAGTAACGAGCAGAGCGGCAGCGGCGGCTCGGAGGTCGATGTCCAAGAAGACGGCAGCGGAGGAGAGCAGCAGCAGCACCGGTCCGGAGAGCGAATGGCGGTGAGGCACACACACATGCGGCAGAGCTGAGTAGTTCACTTCCACATTTCCTCAATGCTGTACCGCAGCTGATGCACCGACTCAGCTGCAGAGAGCATCAGAAGCCTGCGGTTTGTTCTGCGATGGCGTGAAAACAAACTCAACACAAGAATCTAATTTCTGTCACTTTCTCACGTTTGATCTCTCCCACCCCGGCTTCGTTCACGCGTGCTGCTATGCAGTACTGGTGGAAGGGATCGATCCATGTATCGGGAGTGTCGATCCCGACGCTGGTATTGGACACTAGCGCGGATACTTTGTTTCTATCCGATTCAGTTCAGCTGTGTTAAATTATTATCATAATTATGGGGGGAAATTAAAGAGAAATACCTCAAATATACACTATGAAAAAATGTCTGAACCTTTTCGTTTTGAGTCCCATGTCTGTTTTATTTTATTTACACCTTATGGCCACATTGATACCACAGAAGCTGCCCTGTCCCTGAAGCCCAAAGTGCTTTAAAGACAGGCACATTTACACTCCAGGTCCCCAAAATACATGAAAAGCTGAAAGGTGTGTTTTGTTGTGTTAACTCATTTTACTAAGTAAAAATCACAGTGATTTGGTGGTCATTAAAATGTGTTCAGAATATGCAAATTGATGATGATTCATGTCATAAATCATGACACACCGCTCTCCCCTACATAAGCTGCCTGTACAGGTTAAAAGAATTGGTATCGGCAGTATGGGAGAAGCGTTTCATACAGACAGGCACCAGCCAGCCAAAAGGTTTGAACGCAGGACCTTCTTGCTGACGCACTGCCCTGCATCAGACAGATACTAAAGGTAGATGAGTTTAAATACCTGGAGTCAGTCATACAAGACAACGGAGAGAGGTGAAGAAGAGAGTAGAGCAGGTGGAGATGAGTGTCAGGGATGATCTGTGGCTGAAGAATAGCAGGAGGTAGAGGTGTCTGAGATGGAGATGCTAAGAGTTTCATTGGGAGTGACCAGGATGGGCAAGATTAGAAACGAGTACATCAGAGTTACAGCACAGGTCGAGCAGTTCGGAGACAAAGTTAGAGAAGCAAGGCTGAGATGGTTCGGACATGTATAGAGGATATATTTAATAAAGGATGCTGAAGATGGAGCTGCCGAGCAGGAGGAAAAGAGCAGGAGCACAGAGAAGGTTCATGGATGTAGTGAAGGAGGACGCACAGAGTGTTGGTGTGATAAAGGGGGATGCTAGGGATAGGGTGAGATTGAGGCAGATGAAGAAGAAGAAGGTATTTAAACATCTTTTGATTTGGGCCTGTATTTTTGCAGAGGGAACAATAAACAGAGCAAAGGCAAACTTTTAATGTAATCACATAAAAATGTGCATTAAAATCATATTTTACATTGAAGACAAAATTGATCTTGACAAAGACGTTTACATTTATCTGCTAAAACCTTCACACTTCATTCATTACTGATACTGTACCCCTACACTGATATTTAGTTATTGTGCATCATGTCAGATATCATCAGTTGAAAACATAATGAAAAGGTTTCATGTGAGTGGAAGCTTTAATCTGTGTTCCTTCTGTAGGACGCACTTTTTTAACCTAATTTTGTTTTTGTTTTTATATCATAGTAACGTCGTATTTAATGGACTGAAGAAGTGAATTAACGTTCTGAGTGTATGCTCATGCATTTGTAAATCGTACAACCAGTAGCGGTCTTAGATATGGGCGACATGGGGAGTTGTGGTAGGGTCAGCATCATGGCATCCGCAAAAAAACAAGTTGCACATACCCATGCTGCCCCGACATCATAACAGCGCATTTTGGGGATTGCAAAGGCACTGAACGGTTTTCTATCGCCCCTTTGCGAGGAGTAAAGGCGCCCTTTTTGAATAATTAAACGGCGTTTTTTTTAAATGCTATTTCTTAACCAGAGGTGTTCGAAAACTCACAATACTTGGCTGGCCTCTGGCTGGTTGGAAAAGCGTGAAAAATGTGCTTTAAAGTGTTTACATTAATTTTGGGGAAAATGAAGTGTAGTCCAAAATTTGGACTGTTCATATAACGATATATATCGGATGACGATATAAAAACGTCTATCGTTTCATTTTACGCTATCGTTTATTTCGTGGTGTCGCAAAATAAACTGTTTACGGCAATATCTTTTCATTATTTTGATGGTCACTGTAGTGGCTATATTAATTTCTTAAAGTTTTCTCTTTCTCTGATATTTTATATAGCAACACTACGGATGGACAAGCGCCTGTTTTTATGCGTTGTTGTTAGCAACAACGACGGTAAAACCATCGCATGTCCGCTTGTTTATTTCCACATAAACCTTTCACAATAAAGCTCAAGATCCTGTTGAGACCTTTCAAAATAAACGGAATCACGTGAAAAAGTATGCAGAGTATTGACGGATGAGAAGCAAAAAAAGAGTCGTCAGGTGCTAAAAAATAAACCTTAGACTCAAACGTTAGAACAGGCTTTTCCCTGCAGCATGCCGTGTAATAAATACAAAGAAAACGGCGAACGTTACAACCTGTCTAAAAGTGTCTAAAATGTCTAAAAATGTGTAGTTTCATGCATCGGTTAAAACACTCTACTCCAGGTAATCGACGCCTAGCTGGAGACAATTCACCTACCCGAGAGTCACAGAATTTACAGAAAATATTACATTTTTTCGTTATTGGGACGATAGATGTTTTATATTGGGATATGAGATTTTGGTCATATCGCACAGCCCTAGTCCATATGCTTTATGTCCAAATGTAAGTGGGGCCAGTGGAACAACCACTGTGTTACTGTCTTGTGGTGCTTTATCATCACTGGAGAGAAGCTCGAGTCCAGAGGTGACATCTTCGCTAAGATTACCTGCTCATTTTAAGACATTGTTCCCTACCTAGTTGTAGATCTAATAACTCTGAAGACGTACACACATTGGTGCTTTAGATGAGTTGAGTTCTTCTATTTCAGATATTTATGGTAGAAGCTGATAGATCCAGCCAAACACCATACAGTAAGAAAGAAGTATCTGAAAGCTTTTGTGCCTGCCTTAATTAAAATGCTTGGATACGTATGGTAACGCTGTCATTGCCCTCTGTGTTTTGCCCATCAGCCCAAAGGTAAAGTTGGCACGAAGGGAAAGAAGCAGATCTACGAGGAGAATGAAGCCACTCTGAAGTTCTACACGAGAGTCATCCTCGGAGCGAATGTAAGAGGCCCTGTGTTGTTTTTGGATGTTTTCAGTCATGTTTTCAGGCCTTTACAGGGTCTCCAGGGTGAGAAATTGATTCGTAGGGGATCAAAGTGTGTTCACACTTCATTTTCTGAGGCTTTGACTATTTGGGACACTCAGATCTAATATCAGTTTAAGTCCTGACTGTAGGATTTGGGTGTTTATATATTGATTTAGGTGCATTTTTTATTTTAAAAAATGTAATTCATAATTTGTTTGAAATAGTGATCGCAGGTCTCTTGTGCTCCTCTGCAGGCGATATACGCCGCTGTAAATTTCTTGGTTTTCTACAGTTCGTCCACATTTTGGACATGGGTGAGTTTATTTAAAGACCATAATTTAAACTGTGAATGTCCGCAAATAGGATTGAATGTTTCTGGCTTTAAAACTCTTCTACGACTCCTCTGGCAGTTGCTGCTCGTGTTCGCGTTGGCGGTGTACGTCGGGAGTTACCGCTCCATGGCAGCCATGGCCAAGCCGGCGTTTGCTGACGACGGAAGTCTCCTGGACGGAGGGATAGACCTAAACATGGAGCAGGGAATGGCAGAGTAAGTCGTCCCTCCAAGATGTCTCACACCGTCCAGTGAGGTGTGTGAGGCATTTCCAGCTTTTGTTGAAGTGCGGTGGTATATCTGTCCTACTTGTGCATTGTGGAAACTAAACAGAGTTTTTGGTGTTTTTCCACTTAACAACATGCATGAGCTCTCACAGCATTTTTTGTCTTTGAAAAAAAAAAATGACACAATTAATATACTGCTCAACAAATGAAAGGAGGCTCATCGTCGCCCCTCTAGTGCACCTGTTGATAATTTCATAAAGACCAAAGCAGCTGAAACCGATTAACATCCTGACCAGATCAATATCCCACAACTTTAACTGACTTGATGCTATAGTCTGATTAAAAAGTGCTCCTTCATCTTTTTGAGCGCTTTATAAAAGTAGTTCAATTTCAAGCAAAGGCTTCACCAGATTTAGATTTGGCTGCTGTCCCGTACAACGCCGTGTTCTCCAGACATCAATAGAGAATCTCTAGTGGTGATGGACCTCTAAATTGTCCATCACAAATCATCAACCTCTGTGTCTGCCCGACCTGACTTTTTTGTGAGGAGGAACCTCATTGCGGATGAAAACATAGGAAGAGTCCAGTGTGCAGGCCTGAAGGTGGCGCCTGAGGTCAGGAGTGTTGCCAGTAACACGCTTGTACTTTAAAAAACCCCAAAAGACATTCATGTGGTTGTACTCCATGTCGAGACTCCAAGATGAGACTGTGAATGTGGCTTTACTGTAACGCCTCGAGGAGCCCGAGGTGAAACATTTGCTGGAAACCACCTGAACCGTGGCACGTGTGCAAAGGTCCAGGCGGCCTGATGAGAGCTCTGTGTCCTTTGCTGTGGTCACATGTTCTTTTTCAGTGATGATTAATTCTGGTTTTAGACACCTGAAGGACGTGATCCTGCTCACAGCCATAGTGCAAGTGCTCAGCACCATCTCCTCTTACTTCTGGTATCTCTGGCTGCTGGTAAGAGCTTTTGTAGTCCCGACTTCTT